CCCCATGTATGCTAGATAGGAATATCACCTTGGAATTCAACTTTGCATGATAATTAGACAAACATAGATCCAAGATTATTAAGGTTGCATGTACACTTAGGAAGTGTTAGAATGCTCAAAACCCATCAGTCCTGTGGGCTAACAACATGCATTGTGGGTTATCAACAACCTTGGGGACTATCAGTAGTCCCAATGGGCTAACAGAATGCCCTGTAGGCTAACATCATGCCCTGTAGGTTATCAACAACCATGGGGACTATCAACAGTCCCAATAGGCAGCTCAATAACACATAACAATATCCAACAAATAAGACCTAGCTGGTCAATATTCACACACTATGGCATAAGTTATATAGTGAGAAGACTCACTTGAACGATGAGCTGACATCCACTACTCAAAGTCCTACAGAATCAGATACACGAACCTCCTAAACCAAACACAAGCTAAACCTCAGACTACAACTTAACACCCGTCAAAGTTTGACCAAAAGTCAAACTAGTCAAAGTCAACTTAATCGACAGCCACGTCGTGGCCACCTATTGGTCATGTCGTGGCAGCTTGTCGACAAAACAATCGGGCAACCACTAGTTGCCACGTCGTGGCGAGCAGACTATTATGTCATGGAAATTGGGTTTTCACAGCCTAATGGATTAAGTTCCCAATCCCTTAAGCCACCCATTCATAAACTCAAGAAAGCGTCCTAATGTTTAATACGACATAAAGATCGATGCTTTTCAATCATGCATGTCTAATGCAAGTCTAGCACTCAAACAATGTCATAAATGGAGAAATAAAACCAAGATCTCATGCATGGAGCTCAAAACACCAAGAAACTTCATATCTGGAACATATATCCACCACGGGACCTCAATGATCCATAAAGTTGCTAATTTATGGAATCCATGCACTCAACTCCACCCGAACATGGATACAAGTGGGTAGAAATATAGACCTAGCATGATATAATGAGAAAGGTAAGATCTTAAGGACTTATAAAAGTACAGAAATAGTTCAAGATGATGATGGAGAGGTTTTGCTAGTTGAAACAATGCACCAAGAACACCTTTTTCTTCTTCAAAGGGCTAAAATCACCACAAAGAGCACACAGGGTCAAAATAGAGGCCAGGTTTTCTTGGAGGGTGAAAGGGATGTGATGGAGGTCGAGAGTGTGCACACCCTATCCCTCACTTCCCTTAAATAGGAGCATAAACCCTGTAATTGGGGTTAATCCTTTAGGCGGCTGCCACGTTGTGACAATAAGCTTGTCACATCGTGGCGCCCAACACTGATGCATGCTTATACAACTATTGCCATATCGTGGCAACCCATGTCCCACGTCATGTCACATGATTTTTCCCAAAACCCCATATTTGATCCCATTAAGTCTTTAGCTGATCCACTCTGGAAAACAGGTGTTACATGTTCTTCAGAACCCCTTCAAGGAAAGAAGGCCCAAAGAAGTGAAAAAAGGCATTGATGTTTGCAGGATTTGAATTTGGTAAAAAGGAAGTAGGATTTGGATTTAAAAGTTGTTTCAACTAATTTAATGTGACTCTAATTCACGCACACACACACACACGCACACACACACACACACACACACACAT